CCCCACAAACCCAAGCATTGTACCTGAACGTTACTCATGTTTTGCAGGCCAATGGCTTCGGGCTTTTGGGGGGGGGGGGGGCAAAGTAGATGCACAAGTACACATTTCCACCGGGGCCTATGCACTCTGTAACTTGCCAAGTGCATCGTACATACATGTGTGCCGAGATCGTAACGATTGGGAGCGTAGTTGTCCGTGCATGCTTGTCTTCCCGGCCCCCTCACGCCCGGCAACAAGCGTCTTTTCTCTTCCACTTTTGTCGCGTTTGCGATTTTGCAGCCCAGCCGGCTCAAGCTTACGCCGTGGAGGGCGGGCAGGGGTATCACCAACCTTCCGCACCCCAACAACCCTACGGAGCCCAGCCTCAAGTCCATGGACAGGTGAGGGGCTTCCGCATTCGCGGCCACAGGAATCGGAGTTTGATTGTGTTGCCTTGTCGAATGTCTATGATGGAAAAAGTGGGGGGGAGGCTACATAAACGCTTGGGGATAGTATGTATTAGGTAGTTTGTGGGGGGAAGCAAAGCAGCAGCACCTTTTCGACAAGACTGAGCGCTCGGTCACACAACAACAGCGACACCGCGTCACGTCACACAGCAGTCCTGTTCGCTTGGTTTTGCTAGAGCCAAGACTTCCGAGATTTGTTCAGTTTCACGAACTGTCTTTACTCTCTTGGCGTTACTATCGACCTTTTTCCCGCCTTTCGTGACCGTTTCTCTCTCTCTCTCTCTCTCTCTCTCTCTCTCTCTCTCTCTCTCTCTCTCTCTCTCTCTCTCTCTGCCGCCTTCGATGCTCTCTCACCCGCCCCTCTTTCTCGGCGGTTGTTTCGATCTGGGACGTTTCCACGGAAACCACTTGTAACGGGTTTCCGATCGTGGAAGGCGGTGGTGGCGCAGCCGTACAATGGGCCGACCGCGCAGCAGGCGGTGGTCGGGCAGGCGGGGAACCAGCAGCAGCACGTCATCGTTGTGCGTCAAGGAGGTGGAGGTATGTTTCTACAGCAGCACGATATTGTGCTTCGTCGTGAGCATTCACACATCAGGCTGGGGACTATCTTCTGCAGTCTGATGGCGCTCAGCGACGTAGCGAATGGCCGGCACACCTTCGTGGGGCTCTTTCTGGTTTGCTTTGCCGTTGTTGTCGTCAAATTTCCCTGCGGGAACGTAGTTGGCACACGTCGTGTTCATTAATGTGTGTCCTGTGGGTGTGTTGCTTGCTTTAATTGCTTGTGTGATTGTTTTGGAGAGGCTAGTCGTGGGTCGGGTCGTGGATCATAGGGACTGCGCGTGCGTCTCTTGAACGGCGCCCCCGATCCCACCCCCGCCTGAAACCATCTCCCACTTCCCCCGAGTACATACCCTGTCGTTTTCCTGACCCATCCATCCGTCAAGCACAAAAACACTGGTGGATTCAGATGTTGGCGTTCGACTGCAAACACAAAAAAAACGTTTATCTCGATCAGAGCAGCAGGGTACTGAAGCAAAATGGTTGCATAGATCGACGGCGCATGGGTGTCCTAAGGCCAAGGCAACATCAGCACCAACTAGCGCCCTCCCGTAGCCTCTGATGATACAGCAGGGGGTGCAGATAGCATCGCGATGTTTGCGCACCATGACCCTTTCAATCATAACCCCCCCCCCCCCCCCGTGTAAATGAAACCGAAAATCCCCCCCCAAGTGAGGGTCCAGGGGGGATTAATCATGGGGAGGTTGGCTCTTGTAGCATGGAGTTGTAACATTGCTGTATTGGGCGTCCGAATTGTTTGCGCGGTATGTCGTGTGAGCTTGCAGTCTTCGGTCCTCGAGTACACCACCTATGTACCCCCTGAACGTTGGATGGTTGGAACGCCCTAAAACGACATTACGCGTGAACTTCCACCTGGAACTTTTTCACCTCAAGAATACAAACGTATAAGCAGATTATGCCCCCAAGTGCGTCACACACGAAACGACGCGTGCGCTGTGTGTGGCTCGCCTATTGTGTACAAGCGCGCAAAGATCGAAGTCCGTTGCTGTGCTTGGAAGTATAGCCGTGACTGCCGAAGGCGAAACGTTTGGCTAGCCGGGATGCCCGATCAACCCATTGAAATATCTGGTTTGGCACAAGCAAACGCAAGGATGATGACACTACCAGCTTCTGGCTCATCCTTGCGAAACATAGCCTGGGTCGGCGAAAACCCGGCATATCGCTCCGTCCCGGCATTTCAGGAATGCGAGGTCAATGGTCAAACTACGGCATGCATTCACACGAATACACCCCCCCCGCTGGTTTTTTTTGTTTTGT